TATTATTTATTTTGTATTTGTTGACGTTTCAAAAGGACTAAGTTATGGTTTTAAATAAATACTTTGACATTGACTTTGACTTAATTATCACCCAAAGCCGCTTTGTTTAGCCATGAAATAAGAATAAAGAAACTCCGCCACTTTTATAAATATAAGTAAAGTACTTAGAGGACTGTACGGTTGGTGCGGTGGCTGGGCAACCGCCTGCCGTGCAACGTGTCGCGGGTTCGATTCTCGCACGGAACAACACTTTGTGTGATCCACAAATTGTGGTTTCGAGTCTGGGTGTCATTGTGTGTGAACTTGTATGTTTGTAAACGCACCCACGACACAGGAGAAAATCCTAGTGTGGGGCAACGTTTCTTTTTAAAAACGAAGCAATTTTAGGTACTAACTTAGCTTAGTACTTAAATATGAAACTGACATCTGTATTAGCAGCAGTAATTAACAATTTTCATCACTCCCCTCAATTTCGCGCTGCATCTACCTCTGTGCTGTAGCTACGTAGGTACATATGTAGTGGAATAAGCCAGTAGTACGCGTCGCGAATTTTGACTAGGGCTACTACTGATTGTGCATTTAAATGGTTTTTCAGTACAATAGTTCATCTACTCTTGATAGAGTTGTTATAAACTAGTTCTGGATATTATTCTACTAGTGTGAGTTTCGAAAAATTTAATTAGATTAAAATTGAGACCTTGTATTCGTATATAAATGTCGTAAAAAAATGTCGTGGTAGCCCGTAGATTTAAGACGCCCGCTTCTCATGCATGAGGATACGGTTTCGAAACCTACCAACGGCAAGTAGGTACTAATGTGACTTTTTTATTATTTAGACACCACTGGTAAACGGTGAAAGAAAACATCGCGAGGAAACCTGGGCTTATAATTTCTAGTCATACGTTTAAAATCGCCAACCCGCATTGAGCAAGCCTGGTGATTAATAGTCAAGCCTTTTCCGTGTGAAAAGAGCCTTTGCTCAGTAGTGGGCATTTATAGGCTGTCCGTATAAATGTAAACCGAGGTACAAAATATACGTGCAACTTTCTCACTAACCAAAAATTCTGTGAAAGTACTCCATATACTAGCAAACCTTCAACCAGTTTCAAGCTACCACTTCATAAATATTTTAATAAAGCTGCCAAACTTTCAATAACAAAAACAAAGACAATGGCTTTTAAATTGAAAATCCCAAGCCAAAAATTGTGTAGCGTCATTTTCCCGGCTGGCAACCCTGAAATTACCTCATCCGCGTTAGATTGCTCGTAACGCCGCTGCTACAAGCATCTACTAACGTAACGGTAATGACGTCATAAGGGAAACGTCCAATCTGTGACGTCACGGTTTATAGCTGTATTAAGTTTAAGGGCTTTTTATGTTAACACCCAAAAGTGGTTAATTCTAGTTTTATTTGCGCCCTAGTTGTCCAATGTCGATGTCAGTCACTGTTTCATGTGCCCTTTAGTGTTCGGGTCAAACGAATAGTTTCATGTAAATAGATAAAACAGAATTGCTTGTTAAGTTAAGCAGTAGTTTCACAATTTTAAGGTTTGTTTATTAAGCACAACATACATAGTATGTATATTTTATATAATAATACATTATATAATAACAAATCACCAAAACCTTGAAAATGTGTGTTCTACAGCTTTTATGTCTATTGGAAGAAAGCAGTATTTCCAATTTCCATTCCACGTGTCCAATTGATTTCGTAAATACAAAGAAAATTCATCGATAAATACCAGGCAGGATGATTCGGACGCCACGAACTCAAGTTTCAGTAGAGTCCTTTAATTCATTTTGTTTAATTCGTATCACAATCAGAAAATTGTAGCCACGCTACCCGCGAATTTCGCAGCCCGTCCTAATTGCTTGCAGCGCGGCTGATGCATTGAGCTGAGATAGAATGTCGCTGCCAAATACGCACGCCTCAAGGTTTGTACGTTGTATGTTGATTACACTACGCTTTGAGATTACAGCTACAGCTGCTGAATGTATCATCACGCGCTTTACATTTATGGAATGGATGGAATTTGCAGCGCTGCAGCATTTGCTGTAATTAGATTTAATGCTGAATTTTGAATTTTGGTGTAGCTATGTAACTAGATAATCTAGTAATTACAGGCCTAGGTTATTGATTACCGTTGTTGTATAAGGATGCTTAGATTTGTGTACTAGGCTAGTATGAAATTCATTAACTCTTAGGAAATGTGTGTTTTCCTTTACCTCGCTTATTTACTACAACACAGTGATGAGTCTTAACCAAATTTGACTGAACATCTGCAATGTTTATGTTACACAGCGCGACTGAGCCATCATTAATTTGGCACAACAAACATTTTCTTCAGGAAAACATTCGTTTGTTACCATATTTGTCCTCTGGTGTTGCGGGTGTCCATTGGCGGCTGCCATTAGCTGACCACTTACCATCAGGTGATCCGCCTGCTCGTTTGCCTCGTATTCCATAAAAAAAATTTTACAGGTTAATATTATAATTACCCAGATATTAAAAAGTACTTATACAAATAATATTTATCTTAATTACAAAATATTTGGAGTATTACGTTAGTTATTAAAGTTAATGGCGTATTTGGCAAGGACCAGATAGTATGGTTGCCAGGCCGGAGCTTAGATTACGGACGGGAACGACTTATGGCCGAAGTACATACAAAGGGCTACACGTCGAACTATACGGAACCAGTTTATCATGACCTTGCTTTGTAGCACCTTTCCGCACTATTAAAGGTCAGTTTGTACTGGTTTTTCATTAGCTGTCTGTGTGTATCACCGTATTGCATGAGACTGCTTCTAGAAACATCTTTAACTACTTCCTAGTGTAATGGCATGGAAACAATGAATGTACTGAGACATACATTAAAAGTAACATTTATAGTTGTATCCTAAGATAAAATAGATGAATGTTATCTTTCATAACTTTGCTTTAGTAAGTTAGTATCGACTGCCTGTTAAGTGCTACCTACACTGTTGTGGACCAATCAACAAACAGACCATAGAACACTTTTTTTTTTTTTAAGGGGGGGAAATCATCGAATGACTGCTCCCGCCTGGGTGAGGCGGGAGGAAGTGTCAGACTCTTACTGACTAAAAACCACCCCGTTCCTTCTCCTGCACGTCGAGCCGGAGCCCCGGTTACCCGTTAGGTTCTCCGCGACACCATAGAACACTAGGGTAGATGCGTAATTTTCATTTTAATTTCTGATAATTTTAAATCATTAGACACGTATTTTAATTTTCTACAGAAACTAATACTTTCGACGATATATTGATTTGAAATGTCGCGTGACGTCACTTCTATATACATTTTATACGTAGAAATGCCCCCACTCCTAAACTTGGTTTCGTTTTATCTAAGTATTATTTTATTATACAACAAAATAAAAAAATACGTGTCTAATATTTTTTCATTACCAAACTTACGGACTAATTAAATTTTCAATTTTCATACCCTGACATCATCCCGATTCTTTATGTGCTCTTAAATCGTTGTACTGTGTCTAGATGCAATGAGTATCAATGTACCACATAATATTATGTAGACTCAGGAGAAAAACTTGTTTAACAAAAATATCACAAACAAATCGACGCAATAAATTATGTCAGGCAATTGCTTTCCAAAATAAAAAACCCAATAGTACCAATGTTCTTCTGAACCCTCATCCCCCTAAAACTGGTCGCTAAATAAGTCATAACTTAATAATCAAAAGATTAAACAGTTCATTTAAAGTCTTTGATCACAGACGATTCACTTTCAACTTGTGCCTACAGAGGGGGCAACTTTCGTGTTTACTTTTATAATCAACGAGTTATGCTCAAGTATTTCTTTTCAATTTAATTAATATACTCTTCATTAAGATTTGGATAATTTAATTAATGTCGTCTAAATGGGATCGATACTTTTTTTCAAATTCTAGGTTATGTTAATACTGATACAACGCATACAGGCTGTAAACGGACCAGACCCGAAACGCTGACAAAAAAAATGTTTTACAATTTTAATCGTTTTTGATTTCGTTTAATTCATGCCACATCAGCCTTGAGCAGTTGATTACAACTATTATTATATAAAATAAATATTTAATTATTTACTTTTATGAAAATAAAACTTATATTTTACCATCACTTGTCGGGAGCGTTCAGTTTACTTTATTTTTTATTTATTTATTACACAATTAAGTAAAATTTATTCATAATTCAAAAATACAAATTATATCTTAAATAGTAATTTAAATATAGAAGATCCAACAGTCAAACTATTTACATATAGTTTTGTTGGACATGGCGTTAGATTATAAGGCATACCATGTACCTTTATTATTAATAAATAAATAATAATAATAAGTAAATTTGATCTCATAAAGTTAGATGCTTGCACTAGGACAATACTGTATCGCAGGCGAAATGAGCTCTATACATAATTTTTATAGGAGGACATGTTATTTCTATAACCACAAATACATAGGTATTTATCATTATGCATCAGTAGAAAGGGTACATGTATAATAATGACAAGGCATAGAAAGTTTAAGTTTAAGCCAATTACAGAGTTTTTCAGCATGCGTTAGATAAAAGCAGGAGAGTGAACAATATAAAATAAAATTGAAGAAACTAGGAAAATTTAACACCCTGTATAACATTTAACGTAGAATTGTCTTTAAAGAGTTCTTACGATTTTATGTACAAGATTTACATTTGTATTATAACTTTCGTGAAACATACTAATTTTTTTTTACTACTTCGTCACGTAACTGTTTGACGACGAACTCAACTAGTTTCAAGGCATTCTTGAGGCTCATATTCATAAGCAGCATTCCACGACACACAACGTGGTGATAGTCACGCAGCTACTCTATGGTTTATGTTGATATAGTTTCTATAATGTACACTAGTTTTAAAATGTAAGTAATTAAAAAGACAATCGTGAATGGTATACATTTATTGGTATTACACTCGATAGAAAAACAATAGTAATTAATACAAATTTAATAGTATATTGTATCTGGTTCTATTATACTTTGGTAACTGTTTATGATGGCACAAAAATATATGAAGACGCCTGAAAACAAAAGCAAACTGCTTTGACTGTGATTCCGTACAGCAGCTGTAGCCAAATACCATTTAGCGCGTGTCTACTTGTAGAATAGAAAACTGAATTATATGGAATTGACGAAAATTTTGACACTTCTCAGTGTCAACCCCGTACATTTAGTTTTCTACACTCTCTGTAGACAAGCGCTAAAGTGGCGTTTGGCTGAAGGCACAGGACTTTCTATATAAGTTTTGGATCCAGTTGAGATAGACTTCTTTCCCGTTTTGATGTCAGTATTTAAAAAAAAAACGTTGCCCCACATTAGTATTTTCTCCTGTGTAGTGGGTGCGTTTACAAACATACAAGTTCACATACATATGATACCCAGACCCGAAACAACAATTTGTGGATCACACAAAGCATTGTTCCGTGCGGGAATCGAACCCGCGACACGTTGTGTGGCAGTCAGTTGCCTAATCACCGCGCTAACCGAGCAGTCAATTGCATGATATCTGTAATTGCTGTTAGAATAGTACAAAGAGATTTATAACAGTAATATCATAATTGGAGATCAATTCTCACTTGGCACATTATCTATATCAGGCTCACGTTGAGGACTAAGGGGGTGGACCATCTTCCAAACTGTTATTGCTAATCTAGGCTTGATATGTAATAGAACTTATTATTGAGAAAATATTACTGTTGTTTAAAAAAATCAAATAATAGTGTAAAAAGCTACCAGCGTAAAAACATCCTCCGACGAAAGTAAACAGACTCTGCATGGGGTGACCGCAGTGGAAGCAAACAATAGTCCTTGCCAAGAACATGAAGGTGTACAGCACCACGAGTACCACGTGCGACACGAACCACAAGGACAGTATGAATGGAGACCCTTTTCTCTGAGAAGTAAAGTTAGAAATTGCGTGATAAAAGAATGAAAATCATAACAGTGTTTGAAATCGGGATGAAAGTTTAACATAATTTGTCAACGATCCCGCGTTTTGTCACGCTCCATTCAAGTGCGGGAGAGCCATGCTTCGGCACGAATGGGCCGGCTCGACCGGAGTGATACCACGGTCTCATAGAAGAGCGACGTGAAACAACGCTTGCGTTTTGAGTAAGGTTATTGGAGGCCCAATTACCCCCTCCCTCCTTCCCCAATCTCTACATCCCCAACAATCCTCAAACTCGTAATCCCAAAAGCACAGTAACGCACTTGAAACGCCTCTGGTGATCTAAGTGTCCATGGGCGACGCCGATTTCTTATCATCAGGTGATCCGTCTGCTCATTTACTGGTTCTATACCACATAAAAAATTTAGATTTTGAACAAAATACAACTTACCCATCGCCCGTATTGCAATAACAAAATAGAAATAACAGCTTGGTACGAAGATGTGCTGGTACAGAACAGTGCAAATATCATATTGATGGCGTTCACAGGATTCGAGTTGTAGACTAATTCCTTGTTAGCGATAGAGAGGATTGTCCCCAACGATGCAAATAATGCTATTGCAGCTATCACCTGTAACAGGTCAATGAGCCCATAGTTTGATTGTGTAAACAATCGATTCTATTTGTTACTGAAGAATATGAAACTTTTTGCTCGTTGCTTCCTTCATGATCACAAGAAAAAACTAGGTTATATCACTCTCCACTCTCTTTACTGGGGCTGCCGGAGCTCCGGCTCGAAGTGCAGGAGTAAGAACGGAATGGTTTTTAGCCACTAAGAGTCTGACACTCCCTCTCACCGCACCCGGGCAGGAAAAGTTTGGATGATTTTCCCGCCTCAAACAAAAATTATCTTAAGAGCCAAAAATATGAAAACAATAAAAACGCTTTGTTGCAAACTGAAAGCAAACAAGCACACAATATGGAGTGTCTTGTCTCGTTCTTGTCCATAGGAATTTAGTCCTTGGAACGCAAATAGCTTCACTTTTAAACTTTATGTGGACGTTCAAAAGTGCCTTTCTGGTCTAATTTAAATAAATGATTTTGACATTGACTGTGACTATTTATAGTAAATAAGTAAATGAAAATGTCAGTAGGAATATAGTTATAGATTTAAATTAAATAATTTTAAGATAATCCTATAGTTAATATTAATAATATTAATTAGGTGCCCCATACATATTACGTTTAGGTTATACAATTCATAATACCCTCCATGTTAATTAATATACTTTTAGACTTATAATACCGGTTATGGACAACTTAATACCTACCTACCGGGTGTTCATTGATGAAATTTTCCTGCCATATAACAAATCGTATTGAAAGTTATTCAGAATAAATGGTTGTGGCTGTTATTACATTTTAGACCTGTAAGTTTCACTTTGTGGCAACAAATTGCAAACGACCATAATTACAAGTTATCCATAATAATATATAGTTTCTATAAGTTATGATGTTTTTCAGTATATAGAGTAGGTAAATAATAATTATAACTTACAATTGAACAAATACCCACAATAACAACGGCATATTTCAATGGAGTTCCAAATATATTATTTACTGTACAACATCCTAGTTTCGATGACATCGTTATTTACATTAACTGCTATTTACAAGATAATATTAAAAAATAAAACATTTACATATAGTACTTATTTACAACATAACCTTAAAAGTTAAATGTCATCTTTACAATTTGTACAATAAATATTGTTGATGGTTTCTATATAGAGTATCGTTAGGTCTGGCCACAGATTATACAAACCATTGGAAGCCGCGTGACAAACAAATAAATTGCAAAATTATTATAGTAATATACCACCAAATATTAGGTATTATGTATGCTACTTTATTTTTCGCTTTATTGATCTCTAATATGAACTTTACATTTCAATCATAAGGTTTATTTTTCTACAAGTAAGATATAAACTTAATTCGTTTTGTACCTGTAACCATGTAACCAAATATGAGTACCTAACTTTAGGATTACCAATATTCTATTATTACCTGTATGAACGACAATGCTAGGTACCTATCCTTACACATAATTTTATTTGTGTATTAAATGCGTTATCATTAACGGTATTAATGACATCATTTTTGTTTGGTATTGAAATAGAGAAGTGATAGGTACAATCTTAAAAAGGTATCGGTATCAAACATTGTTTTCAAACACACTTTATTTAAAAATCTACCTTATCCAACAAAAAATTAAATCAATTTCTGCACGGAATTATGAATCTGGCAACCGGTCCTGGATCTACTCTGGTGCTCTTCCCTGGCTGTCTTCATGAGTTTGTCATACAACCCTACCCAACAATAAAGATTAGATATAATAAAAAGATTTTTTTCAATTTCGAACATCTATTCAGGAGTACTTTACCGAAGTTTTTTTGTTTAGGTGGATATAGCCTAGGTAAGCTATGCTTGCCCGGAATTTGTACATCACGTAAATGTATGACTCCATTGTAAACACAGCAATCATAAAGTAAACGGAATTCCCTTGTAATGAATTAAACGTTACATTTCAATAAAATTAAAATGCATCTACTGCTCTCTTGCTGCC